GGACAACAGGAGAAGGAACTGGGCATCATGAAAAGCAGTTTGGACTATCATGGCATTTGACCCAGTAGGAGATACAGACCTGAAGGGAACAAATGCAGAAGACATTATAGCATTAAATTAACAAGACCTAAATGACCAGTTTGACATTTCATACAAGTCAAAGGGGTTTCCAAAGGTTCTAGTTTAGGTAACCAAGAAAATGGTGATGGCTCAAGGAAGAGAACACAGAAAATAAACAAAATGGAGGATAATCCTGTTCAATATTTGATACAATTTGGCTGTTTAGTTTGTGAACCTGTCCAAAAGGTAGTTGTAAGTTAGATCTAGAACACAGAAGATAATAGCCTATTACTTAGCTGAAGCCATGGAGTACATGTTTTTATATATATGGAAAAAAATAGGGTCACTTAGAAATATCCACATTTATAGAGTAGCTAGAAGGAAAGCCAGCGAAGCAGACCAAAAGTCAGAGAGGTAATATAAATAATGGCTTCCATCTTTCAAAAGCAATTTGTCATACATATCTGCTAAATGCTTTAGGAAATATTAGACTGCTTCTTAAAATTGGTGTTATCACCATTTCAGAGATAAGAACAATGAGGCCTTAAGATGCGATATGATTTGCCCCAAATCATTCAGCTAGTAAGTGGAAAGACCAAAACTCAAATTTCGATTTATTAACTCCAAAGTCCATACCTTTTAACCAGTAAACTATCACATCATAATGGAAGCCTGACAAGGCAAGGAATGCCCTCTTGGAGATTAACCAGGAACGAGAAAGTTTCCCTTCCTTCTAACTCCTAACTAAACCACAATGCATGTATCAAGGCCTCTCCACACCCATTCCCCAAAACTGCCACCCCACCCTCAAAATACATTTATGCTTTTAAGAAGCTGACACTCTTCTTTTATTCAGGTTACTTTCAGTAATATAATTATCGAGATGTATTTGTGTAGCTCTACCAAAAAGCACAGAGTTTTGTGGGGTTTTTTATTAATAACATAATGAAGTTTTATAAGTGTTGGTAAATTTTGGGCCTGACATAAAACTATGACAATGTTTGAATAAATGAAGGCTAGCTAAGTTAAAACATACTAATTAGGTTCATTAACTCATCAAACACATATTCTGTGTCTTATATACCACACACTAAGGATAAATGGTGTTTAAAAACAGACTTCAATGCTGTATCTCTGAACCAACTTTACTGGCAATTATGACACTCTGAAAATTGCTTTATTTTGCCTTTTCTTAGGTGCTAGTTAAAAAATATGACATCATATAGTATCTTATAATACTGTGTTCCTTAAGAGATGGGATAAGTAATATCTATAGCACAAAATATACCTCTAAGTTTGAAAATTTAATTTTCAAGAGATTTCAATAATGGCCTGTATCTCAGTCCAGAATCCACATATTAATCTTGTGGCACTCTACTCACTAACAACGTCTTCATTCTTATGGAGTCAAGATCAAATTTAATATATAAAGGGCAGTAATTTATATCATTTTCCCATTAATTTGGTAATCAAATCCAAAATGTTATACTAAAATGTACAACATGCAAATTCCATAATGACACTTTTGGGCTAGATATTTTTAGTGTTTTCAAAAAACACAAAGTAGCTTTTAGATATAAATACCACATAGGAGGAACAAAGGTGGAAAAATTAAGTCTAAAACATTTTAGAGAAAAATTTCATCAAGTTTTAACATACAGCTAAACATCTGCTTTAAAATGCCTTTTAGAATTTCTTGGGCAAAACAATTTTTACCTGCTAATAAAATAAGGAATTTCCTTTATCCAGGGAAATAACACATTTCCCTCTATTTATTCATGAGAAACATCTGGAAAACAAACTATAAACCCATTTGACAGTCATATAATCATATTTTCAAAATAACAGGAGGTATCATGTTATATAAATTAGGGAACAAATGCAGGTACAGCCCCGTCCTGGCCCCCCAACCCCACCCAGCTTAATGCGCCAGGACTGACACTGTGTGTGTGCTCCGGGCTGGAGCTGGGCCCTCTGGCGCTGGCACCGCTCTAAATAAATTAGACAATGAGATAATTACCTAAGAAATGCTTTCCTTAATCTAAAATTAAGTAAGAAAACTTAGTAATTCTATTAAAATACATAGTCTAGCACATATAAGATACTCAATAAGTGGCTATAATTACAAAACTGGTATGGTTTTTATTCATTTGAATTTTACTTAATCAGCCTGCTTTGAAGAATATGTGCATTTAGTTCTACATATTTACCCACAAAAAAAGAAATTGTTCGTTACCCAAAAATAAAAATAAAAAAAGTTCCCCTAAATCCAGAACTAGGGGTAGGGTGAGTGGAGGTATAAAAGTTTACAACTGGTAAAAAAAAAGGGTCTGATCAAGACAATAAAAGCGACTCAACCTCATGGTTGAAGCCATGTTAGGCAACAATGCTGCTGTTGGCAAAGCCCTCCTTTACCGTAAACCAGGTATCTACGTGCTCACAGCTTTTACTGGGATTTAAAAGCATGGCAACAGGAATGCAGCGTATCAAGCAAAGAATCAGTTAAGTTTTTGGCTGCAAAAGAATGTTAGCCTTTAAGAAGATCAAAAAAAATTTTGCTGAATTTTTCACTGAACCAATTCTTTTTATGACTTCCTTTTCTGAAACTGGGGACAAGTGGTACTTACATGAATGACATGAATGAAAACAGAAATAGTGCTGAGCAGTAATTCTCCCTGACCCCTGAGATAAAGTAAGCTCTGTGACACATATTTATACAATGACCCAAAGCCCAGGATAAAGGAGGATAAAAAACCTGCTATATCAATACCATTTCTTCAGTGCACATAGTAGCCAGAAATCCGCAGGCTCCTATAAACCTCAGATGCTACTGTCATTCCCAGTCCTTAACCCTCCACTAACTACTTTTATGGAATTAAAAACTAATAATAAAACTGAATTCATTTCTCATTTCTTAACCCAAGCTGGCTAGGAACTTGTCACAAGGATTTTAGCAGGCCCAGATCAAAAATGAGATCACAACTTCAGTTACCCAGGTACATGGTACTTCAGTAAGTAAAAAACAACAGAATAGCATTACACTGTATAGTTGTAAAGTCCATCTGACAAAATTCAGAGTTTGCAAACAAAACAGAGTAAATTCTACATATAACGTTCAACAACATTGTACATTGATTTTATAGGTTAAACAGAATTACCACATGACCCAACAATTCTACTAGGTATATATATCCAAGAGAAATAAAAACACATGTTCACACAACTTTTACACAATGTTCATAGCAGTATCAATAATAGTAAAAAAAGTAGAAACAACTAAAATGTTCATCAACTTATGATGGATAAATACAATGTGAAATATGCACACAATGGAGTATTTTTTGGCAATAAAAAGAAATTAAGTACTAATACATGCTACAACTTGGAAAAACCTTGAAAATATAATGCTAAGTGTAAGAAAGCAGTCTCAAAAGGCCACATGTCACATGATCTTATTTATGTGAAATATCCAGAGTAAGCATACAGATAGAAAGTAGATGAGTGTTTGCCTAGGCCTGGAGGTGGGCAAGAGAAACTGCTGATAGGTTCAGGGTTTTCTTTTTGGGGTGATGAAAATGTTCTAAAATTGACAGTGGTAGTGTATGCACAGTTCTGCAGATATACTAAAAAACACCGAATTGTACACTTCAAATAGGTGAATTGTATACATATGAACAGTATCTCAATAAAGTTCTTATTAACAATCAATTCTGTACTAACAAAGTTGAGAATGAAAAAAAACAAAAACAATAGCATTATAATAAAGTTTGCCCAGCAAATCAAGAAGAGCTAAGATTCTTAATAATTTACTAACAAAAAATTTGACTGTTATGAAATAGGAGATATATATGTAATCTTATCTGCTAATAAGAGACCACCTAATTTTCAGGAACTTTGCTTGTTCTTACATGAAAATTTATACAGACATACAATTATAAATTAAACTTCAAAGATTCTCTGAAGCATTCATATCACAGAAACTGTACAATCCATGAAAATGGGAAATCTGTATGAAATTAAATGTTAGATTTTCATTATAAAATCTCTTTCCTTCAGAGTGAGTATATAATCTCTCAGACAAGTTAACTAATTAATGTCAGTAACTACAAAAGTGTTAGCCAAACAGTGTTCTTAAAAAGTATGTGCTTTGAATCACCCATTTGTAAACAGGGACTAATTGTGATACCTCACATACTAGTTACAAAACACAATCTTCTATGAAACAAAGAAAGACCTCTCTTAACCTGTACTCAAAAATTACTTAAAAAAACATTCTTTAGAAAGCAGTTTACCAGACTTTATTAATTCTGACTGGTACTGGTATTTTCACTCTACATTAAAATATTTTTAAGAGAAAGTAGTATCAACAGGTTAAATACAACTCTTCCATGAATATACACTATTTGAGGGAACCAAAAAGAGACACAACACTTCCAAAACAGAATTTCTTAAAGGTAGGGAGACCATATGTAATAGGAAAGTTCTAGACTGACTGAGTTTGTACATTAAGAAAAAGGGATAGCACAGATAATAACATTAGACTAATTTTCTAAAATTATTCACCAAGTTATTATAAGGAACCACCAAAAAATATGAAACACATTAAGAAGATTCTGAGCATAAGTGTATAAGAAAAAACTCTCCAAGTAGTCATATAAATATTTGGAATATATACATATCTATTGCCTTCCTGTCTATTGCAACTTGAAAGAAAGTGTATAAGAAATTATGATCTTGTGTTTTCCACAATCAAATGGCAATGTAGCAGAATCACTTTTTCTAGTTTCAGAGATAAGAATATTGTCTATAAAAGCCCTTAATCAATGTGTATAATCTACATGTCAAAATATAGAAAAACAAGAGCAATTTCAAGAATTATACTAACCATTACTTTCCTTACAGATGGCTAAAATAAGTAACACAAAATTTAAATGACTTACATTGTTGTTGCGGGTTTCTACAGCAGGGAACTTTCTGACTATGAACTTCACAGCAGATTCCAGGTTTTTGTCAATAAGGTAGGATGGTTTTGCCTTAGGGTCTCCACATGCCTATAAAACAATAGTAATAAAAAAGAGTGAAATGCACCCTTCTTCTAAAACTAAGAAGTAATAGCAAATCTGTAAACAGAAATTAGAAAGGTATTTATTGTTTTTGGTGAGCAGGTGATAAAATGAATAGGCAAAGTGCAGGGATTGTCACAGCTGAAATATGCAATGGGAGACAGTACAGAGATGTTCTTCTACTGAAAAAAAAATGCATGGAAAGTTTCAAAGCAGTTAACGCAGAACAGCAGTGAAGAAAAAAGCTCAAACCTAAAAGAAAAAAAAAAAGAAAAAAAAATTCTTGGTTTGAGGTAGGATTGTATTCATCTGAAGCTAATAAAATATTTCAAAATTAAATATTCAGTAGGGTACTGGAAATGTTTGTGTTATAATATAAAAGTTTATGTTTAAATGTCTTTTCCAAAATGTTTTCCTCATTCACTTTAAACATTTTATAATACAAGAGGCTAGTTCAAAAGAACTGGAAGCTGCTAAAATTGTCTTTATAATACTAAAGTGTGTTTCTGTTCTGAATATTTTGAGTTACAACAACAGTGTTTTCCATCATACCAGCAGCACTTCAAACAATGAATCTACATCTGTTCTATATCTCATAAGCACAGAACAAATGGAAATGTTTACATTTTGACATCAGCAGTACAGCACTCTCTGTAGCAAACTGTAAAGCATTATACAAATGTAAGATAATACTACTAGGAAGAACTTTTTATCTGAACTATTAGCAGTACAGAATACAATCTTCAATTCTGTTCACTGTTTCATTATGTGACATTCAACTCATTTGTGAGATGTTATTTCTTAGGGAATTACTAAAATTTTAACATTCCTATTTAACTTTTTATTCAATTTTAGAAAGGATGATGTGTCCTTTGAAAAGTTTTTCTCTATTATGTATGAGGAAATAAAGTATTGCAATTTGATGTTTTATCATTGCTTACTATGGCTATGTTGTGAATTGCAGAAAGAGAAGTTATGAAACATGAAACTGATCTGAAAGCGGGCAAGCGGGCAGAGGGAAGGTGAAAAGCTTTGCAAACCTTCCAAACTTGTCCTTGCTGGGAAGCATTGTAATAAAAAGAGAGAAAATTACGTGTAAACAATGACTGTCAAACTATGACATACGTTTCAGTAGAAAACTTATGCACTGCAGACTATGAGTAATAAAACAAGATTAGAACTCTATGGTGCCACAATTTTAAAGGTATTCTAAGTAGCGAGTTTTAGTATACAATAGATTTATAGAGTTTATAGTATTCATATATATTTGAATACTACTGTGTAAGTGTACAACCATGTTCGTTCTTGGGGCTCCTTCTAAATCAATTCAAAATAATACTAGAAGGAAAAAATAAAGACTACATGCAACTATAAAAATAGGAGCAAAACCATCAGTGAAATTTTACATACCTTAAAAATAAACGGTAGCCAAGAATAAAGGTAAATCGTTATTGGAAGACTTTTGCACTTCAACACCAATTGAAACTACTTTTCAAGTCTCACCTAATTTCCAAGCCAAAGTATGAAAATCAATGTAAACATTCCTATTGCTATCCAAATGGAAAAAGGAATGCAGTAAGAATCCACTTAATTCTCAAATACACTTAGATAAAACAAAATTAACTTTAAGAAATTTAGAACTACATAATCCGTAAACAGACTGACACAAGTCCACTATGTAAATTCCATTTCAACTTTATAAATACTAAAAATATCTGACTTTTCCTCCGAGTAAGCCATTATTTAAGGTATTATTTCTCATAAGTTAGTCTTCCAATTAATTCACTTCCCCAAAAATATACTACAAAAATAACCAAGAACCACATAACTAACAATTCGTCCAAACACAAATAGCTACAGATAGCATTTCCTTACATCAATGATATAACAAAAATCAAGTTTCATAAACATGTCTGAGGTAGAAGCATAAAGTAATTCCAAATTATGTTCAATTTTTTAATATGTATTACTTTCATATTCTAATTATTAAAAAATTTAGCTAACAGAACATTCTAATATAAATGACTATCGAATAATTTAAATATCAATTACCATACCCATTTTTCATGATCACAAATTTTACTGTGTAAGAATTTAATTAAGTAACTAAAGATATATAGATATATGAGCAGCTCTTCGTTCTTACACTGAAAACAAAGAGAACGGAATTTCATTGCAATGAAAAAATAAATGGTTGTATAATCTTTCTTTGGAAGTGATTTACTTTTTCCACACTGCTCAGTGAGCCATATCTAAACATGTTACAGTAAGAATGGGTATGCCATAAAAATTAACAATATTGACTCTGGAATAAGACTGACTGGGTTTCAATCTTTACTACTTAACTAGCCATGAGACCTTGAATGTATTATATAAGATCTCTTAGTCTCGGTTTCTTCATGTGTAAATGTGGAAATTAGTACTTACCTCATAGGGTCATTATGAGGATTAGAAAAGAGATAGATAAACCACATACAGTATTTAGTAAAATGACTGGCACTTAAGTGCTCTAAAAATGTTAGCTGTTATTAATAATAGCTATAATAATTATAATTAATGAAGTAAAAGCCTCATATGGATTGTAATCACAGATAACCTTTATCACAGTATAGAACCAGCAATTATGACAATTCCCTCTCCCAATCACATATTTCCTTCATTTACCCCAAGTCTAAATATAACAAATTTGTTGTATTTTTATGAAGAGGTTAGCCTGGTAGTTAAGAACATGAGTTCTCAGGTAGGCTGTCCAAGTTCAAATCCTGACTCTATCACTTCCTAGCATGTAACTATAAGCAAGTGATTTTACTTCTCTGTGCCTCAGTTTCTTCATCTGTTAAGTAGGTGATAACAATAATTACCACCTACCGTAAAAAGTTTTTAGGCCCATTACATGACTGTCTATGTGTGCATGCAGAATTCACAAGGCTATTTAGCATACCATGAACACTCAAAAATGCCAACAAAAAAATACAAGGTTTATAAACACTATACAAAAATACCAGACCCCATTTTTTTCCTGAAATCAACCTCCTTGATTTATTAATACCAAAAGAGATACTTGTGTGGGATATATTCAGGCAAAAAGGAAAAGGCACAAGAAAAAAAACTATGACTTGACTAAAAGTAACATCTAGGTAAATTCATCCTGGCAAAAAGCCATACTTAATTCAGTTAAAAAGGGGTATACCAAAAAAATTCCAACTAACCAGATGCCTCAATTTATAAAGATCAATCTTCTTCCCCATCCTAACTCAAAAAATTTCCTTTCAAAGACACTGAGGACAAGGAAATCTTTAACAACTTGTATTTTAAGAACACAGCCTGCAGTTGATACACCTGAAACCCTATCTCATCCTACTACAGTTACAATAATACAAAAAATTAATCTTTCACTCTTAAAAGTATCGTCCTTTGAAATACATTTAAGAAAATGAAATATACTACCAAGTTATCAATATATTTAGACTAATACATTTAAAAAAAGGCTTACCATGAAATCATGTTTAACAAATTACCAAGTCAACTAGATAAAAACTTTTGAATATTTCTATTCCCTGCCCCAAAAAATGGAAAAGCAAAAAGTTAAGTACAAGGCAAAACTGTGTATAAATCCCTGACATCTTAACAGTTCTACCAAAATGTTTTCCCCCAATTGGTTAAAAGGGATAATTCACCAGACAAAAAAAGAAATTATACCTGAATAACAGAATTAAAAAACAAAAACAAAAACACCCCCACCAAAATCTTGTTTTACTTAATCTTGACTCATCATGCTTTCATAATGCATGAAACACTATAATTAAAATTCCAGAAGCTCCAGAACAAATTTAAATATTTTTATACTTAAATTTCCAGTTCTCAGAATTGGAACTTTATTTCCATGAATATTCTAATTATCTTTAAATAATCCGAATTTGGTTCAATTTAATGTGGCAGATAAAATTACACTAGTGTTAAAGGAAAAACTTAAATATAATAATTCAGAACTCTATTTCTTAGTCGAGTAGATCACAAACCATTTGGCTTTAGGCAAGTTGCTTAACCTCTGAGCATCAATTCTCTGATCCATAAATTAAGGATACTATCACTACCTACTTCATAGGGTAGACTATTGAAATTTTTATAAGACAAAATGCACATAAAGTACTTATTCCAGTGCCTGACACGTAAGTATTTATAAGTAAATTCTAAATGATTATCTTTCTTTTTTTTTAATAAAACTTTTCAAATCACATGGATATCTATAGTGAGTTCCCAATTATCAAAATAAATTTTCCATTTAACCAATTCTAGATTAGTATTGTCATTTCAATATCTTCAAGTTCATTTTTTCATAAAACACAAATATAGCATTATTCAAAAATAAAGAACAAAGATATTTCAGAAAAAATAGTATTTTATTTAAGCCACAAAATAAATGTCTTTGACTAGAAACCAAGACCAGATTTTGTATGATTTTTTAAGTACAACTTTAAAACAATTCTTTCTGTCAAAGTGCCACCAAAACCGCTTCCCAATTTCTTTCCTCAGGCTGTCACAACATAGATTTACATACCACAGCTTACTTTTACATGGTTAATGTTACTATTTTTTTACGAACTTACCATACTGTAAAAATCAAACATAGATGGAAATAGTCATCTATCTATTCCTAAGAGATTAATAAAGCAAGAACCAAGAAAAAAAGAAAACTATTACAGACACAAGAGTGAGAAGCAAAAAGAACGTTTACTGGGTATCTGCTGTGTGTAAAACACCTATGCTCTTATCTAAAGTATCACTCAAAAGAAGGGAAAGGAGATTGAGAGAAATTAAGTAACTTGCTCAAGGTTGTACAACTTTAAGTATCCAAAGCACTAAAAATAAATGGTCATGTAAAAGCATATGCTCCCCCCCCCCCCAAAAAAATGTAGAGGAACATGGTTCACTCTTTTAATACCTCAGCTGCTTCACTGGAGTTACTACTTATCAAAGGAAAAATCTGATTAGTTCAATCAATTTTATTTTGTAAATATTTTTTAAGTCTAGTCTATCTAACTCAGCAATAAAACACATTCCTTTGCCAAAATACTGAGATTGAAATGATTTTTTAAATAACATAACTGAAAAAAGAGAACACTACAAATAGGGAAAATGATATGGAAGTTTATAGAGGCCAGCAAGGACATCAGACATTAGTACAGTATTTTATGACCTTATATATATTTTGTATCTTTATATATTCTACTGTACAAAAGTTATGGGATCTTAAATAATGACTGGTTACTCCTTGGCATTGCCTGATTGAAGCTTCTATTCAGACTTCAAAACTAACCACAAAAGTCACCATCTCTTCTTCCTATCCCCTGCACACTGGATCTTTACCTCCTTTCTTAAGACTCCCACAACCACACTTAAACCACACTGCATTTTAGTTAAGTATCTACATATTTCTCTCATCCACTAAAATTTGAATTTCTTGGCACTGGAGGCTATCATAGTTTCTGTTGTCCCCCAGTCCAGGAAGACATTCAATAAATGAAGACTGAATGAATGAACAAAAAGGAAACCCACAATATTACAGACTGAAAGAATAGCTTATATGACTTAGAAAACAATTTTAAAGAAGCAGTTTTAATGCTGTCAGCTAACTAAAGTAATAAACTATTCAATTACAAAGTATTTTCCACTATAGGCTTTTTTACTTAAAAGATTCCTTTGAAATTGGCATTATGTACAACCCTACTTACAAACTAATGATTCAAGAGCTTATGAAGTTTCTTAACTGATGTAAAACATCTCAGTACAGTATTATTTGAAGAAATGACTAACTAGGAGATTGTCTCATCACTGTCAGATTATGTAAACAATTTACCAAAGTGTAACTGCAGTACTGCAGTTCCTAACAGAATTACCAAAAAAAGATTTTATTGCATTTACTAATAAAGACAATATTAAAACAGTCACAACAACAACAAAAAAAAACACATCTTGGGAACAGAAAGAGTACTACTAATTTTGTAAAAGTCCAAGAGAGACAAAAACACACTTACTGATCTTACTTTTCAACTGCATT